TTAGACACTTCATTATATATTCTTGAATAATCAAGAAATTATTAAATTTCTTTGCTATTCTTATATTTTTCATGCTTCGTCGCCCATCTTTCATTGATTATTTGTAGAAGGTCTCAACAAGGACAACATTTGATTCTGTTTTCTGAACCGCTATAATGAGTTATTATCCAATTTTATTTATACATCGAAGAGTTTAGATTGTTACAAAAAAAAACTTTCTTAGCTTTTCCATCAAAACAAATCATGTTTTTTTATTATTGGAAATCAAATTTATTTTGTAAATACATTTATGCAAAGCAACGAAAAAGAAATATTTTCTTGATAAAATTTAATACAAAGTTCGCTACCATCTTATTCTGTAATATACATAGGAAGGTTTTTATGCTATTCTTCTTCTTTGGATAGCGTATTCCAATCAATTTCCGTCGTTTTCACCAAAATTATCACACTAATAAGGGAATTTTTGCTGTCAATAACGACTAATTGATTCAAAGTTGGTTGAATTTGTTCACCATAAAAGAAAAAGAGTAACTATTTAAAATCACTATCACTATCTTTATTCACTATACCCTGTTTTTTCGATACCGTTTTTGTAATTTTATCTCGAGAGACTTTCATATGGTCTGTAAAATTGCTCGTCAAAGTAGGTGATAACGCCGAAGAAATATCTAACAATATTTGTGTAAACATTTTCATAATGTAGCAGATGAGTTTCACAAACTTGTATGTATTCATCAAAAGTGATGAGTGTTTCACCATTGTGAAAAAAGTCATGTGGAATCGCTAGTTCAAACCATTCAAGATCAACTGATGAAAGAATGAACGATGTATTTGGTTATAAAATTTTATGTAACTGAATTTTTACATTCATTAAATAGGATTATTTTGATTTTAAGTCAAATTTATCCATGTTTGCATCATTAAATGCATCCGAACTATTTCTCAGTTCATCACACCATTGTCTCCAGACTTTTTATTTAGTACTTTGAAAAATATTTTTTCTAATTCATGTTTAAAATTATAACTACATTTCAAGACAGAATACATAAGAGAAAAAGCAGTAAGAAAATCTTCGTCATAGAAACATCGATATTTACCGACTACATTTCGACAAAAGAGTCCACATACATCTTTGATAGGTCAATTCCAATCAGTTCGATCGCATATTAATAAATTTAATGATAATGCAAATTCATTGGCAGTATATTTTCATCTATTCACATTTTTGTTAGAAGTCTTTTTCGACATTCATCTAATGAATCATTATTTATACGACTTACGATAGCTTGTTATATATCATTAGATAAGACTTCTTTCTTCATTAATGATTTTTCATATTTTTCTGTTGAACTTTTAAATTTTTCGAAAGTACCCATTTCAAAATGACACGCTACCGACACATGTGTCAACACAAAGTGACACAAAAATTACTCAAGTCTTAGAATAACGAAATATTTCGCTTACAAGATTTAAACAATTTTGGCACATAATGACACGCTGGTATAACATGTGTCAAAGCGTGACAGTACTTCATGTGTCATTTTGGTTTTTTAAACGTTTTGACACATGAAGTATTGTCATGCTTTGACACATGTATGCCAGTGTGTCATGCTGTGTGACACATGTTACACCAGCGTGTCATTATGTGTCAAAATTTTTTAAAAATTGTAAACGAAATATTTCGTTATTCTAAGACTTGAGTAATTTTTGTGTCATTTTGTGTCGACATATGTGTCGGTAGCGTGTCATATTGAAATGGGAAGTTACACATATATTAATCGTAAACAATTCTATATATATAAGGTACTATGAGTGCACAACTCTGAGTGATTAGGGTGTGGGTGTGGATGTGGATGTGGGTATGGGTGGTGTGGGGTGTGAGTATGGCTGTGGGTGTGTGTGTGGCTGTGGGTGTGTGTGTGGGGTGTGGGTATAGATGAGGGAAAGATTAACACCCTCACCTGCATCCACACCCATACCCACACCCCACCCACACCCAAACCCTAAACGATTGTTAATTGCCATTTCATTAGTTAACGAACTGGAAGTGTTTTTATATTACGTAATAGGCTGCGTTGATTGATGTAATTGGATTCATGAGTTGCAATACTGTCGATATATATGTTTCTTGACGTCTTTTTTTTGACTTATCATCATTAACATTCATATCCGCAGTCATCAAGGTACCTATTTCATCATATCGACTTTTTGGCTTTGTTTTTTCGGTCTTCTTTCTTTCTCATTATCAAAAGAATGTTTAAGGCTGGAATGTGCTATAATGCGTTGTTTTTTTCTGTTTTAGTTTGTAGGCTTCAGATCTTTTGAAGAATTCGATACTGCATCAGTTCTGCCTGAAAATCATTCTATTGTGACTTCATCTAATACAACAACATTGAAGTCACGTTTGAGTGCCTAAATCAACAACTTCTCCACAACTGATATTTATGAGTTAATGTCCAGCAGATTCAATGTTGATGTAAGTGTCTTTATATCAAAGAGGTTTGTTGAAACTTGCTGATACAGTACCACGTATGTGAGAAATGGCTGAGTGTGTAAAGTAAGTAATAGATCGCATGTCAAAGCCATCACTTTACCCGACTTGGCCTCTGCCAAAATCGTCTTCAGAATACCAAAGTCGAGAATATCTTGACCAAGGTTAATTGATACATTCTTAGGTTGTAAGGTCTCTCTTTTTTCTAGAAAATAAGTTAATGAACGTCCGAATCGCTATATTCAGCCTTTATTATCGACTTGACCATCCTCAGACCCCTTGTCGCCTTGGGTGTGAGTGTGGATATGGATATGGATGTGGGTGTGGGTGTAGATAAAGAGAAGACTCACACCCACACCCTCCAGTGGTATGCTCAGATTTGCTACAGACCAAAGTTTGATTTTTGAAACCATAGATGACGCTGTACAAAATCTAAAAATTATAATTCGAGTTATGGCAAATCTGAGCATATTGTTGAATAGAGCTCATCAAGTTGTACTTGGAACAAGCATAGAAGATTTGGAACAATCTCTTGAGCGAATCCGCGATGGAAACACTTGAATCTGGTACTAGAATTCCAATACGGAATGACGGTTTTTTTGGAACTTGTGGAAATATGTTTTGAGCTACCAAAAATCTGAGCATACCACTGAACAGACCTCGTTGAGTTGTATTTGGAACAAGAATAGGAAATTTGGTACAAGTTGATGGGCGAATTTGGAATTGAAATACTCGAATCTGGTGATAACTTCACCTACGTGACTGATATAGCGTTGTGTGTACAAATTCACCAATGACATTTTGATATGTGAACAATACAGCAACATTAGTCAATGGTGCGCAGCGAAAGCTCATATTATTCTGTTCGTGTGGTGCCCAATGATTCACGCACATTTTCTATTTGTTTCTTTACTTCGCATCCATTTTTGACTCGTTGGTTGTTGTCGCTTTTTTACATAACTGGTAATAGCTATCAAAGAGAGCTTGTTCGATGATGTATGCAGAAAACACTAAGTAAGAAGATCAATATTTAAAACTGTATTCATGTTTAAGAAAGTCATAAAGAGTTATGATAAATAGAACATGCGTGCTTTTATGAACACAAAATGCATGTGTGTGTTAAGTCAAATCCATTCAGTATAATGATTGATTTGCTATGCGTGTTTATTTCACATGGGTTCCTTCTCTCTATCTAAGCAGCCGTCGTATACGTCTCTCATTTTAATGATTTTTATACAGAGCAAAATAAATACAGGGACAGCATGGACGATATTGAGCTAAATGTTGGTTTGTGTAGATTTTCCTGTTGCTCTTATCATGAAACACATATTTAATGAAAGCTAGGCCTAAACCATGCGCGCAACAGTTGTGCGTAGGCACATAGATGTTTATCAAGAGAAAATAAGACGCTTATCACTATCACAGGAACAGTAAAACAAATGTGCATTTCCGTTAGCTCAAAGTGCTTTTAGCATGCTTGTGCTTTTGCAATAGAGAAGCAAAAAAAAACGTTGCTACTCAT